AAGCTTTTATTTAAATACACTAAAAAGAATAAAATAAACTCTTTTTCTTTAAAACTTTTATTATGAACTTAGAACGTCATTACACAATTTTAATATTAGATATATAAAAGCCGAGGGGTGTCTCACTATTGGAATTACATGTACATTTTCTTGGCAGTCGCTGGCAGTCATTGGCAGTCTTATGGCAGTCGCCTATAATAATTTCATGGCAGTCATAGGCAGTCTTCTTCATATTCATTGGCAGTCGCTTAGCAGTGGAAGGATATTTTGGCAGTACGTGTACATTTTTTAGCCGAGTGAGACACCACTCGATAAAAGCTTGTCGTGAGATTTCTCTACATCGATAAACAAGTAAATTAACTAAAACCTGTGTCTACCCTGTCTCATTTTCAAAGTTTGTGTTATGATAGACCACTAGACCAGGAATTACAAGATAAAGTTGTACCAGATTTTTATGAGTGCAACTGTACACTCAAATCTCGCGACAAGCTTTTATATAATATTAAAATTGTGTAATGACGTTATAAGTTCATAATAAAAGTTTTAAAGAAAAAGTTTATTTTATTCTTTTTAGTGTATTTAAATAAAAACTTGTTTTTAAAAAAGTTTTTTTATAAAATTTTTCAGAACAATTTTGAAGAACTTTTCTTAAATGAAAATATATTATGTAAATTCGTTAAATTATTTCAGACAATTAAATTCAACCATCAATCAAAATTTTCCTATAATGTATTTTTTGTTAAATTTATACGCAAAAGTTAGAAATTATTATACCTTAAAGAATATTACTAAGAACTTAAATGTAGCAAACAAAAACCGAAAGCTCCTAATTTAGAAACATTCGTAAATAACTATAAGTAATCAATGTACTTATTTCATTTTGCTGTTATTTCTAGAAATAAATTAATTAATTTGTTTTTTAAATGTTTTTCTTTGAGAATGCATATTTATTTAAAGTCAACAATTTAAAAAACGTGTATCTAAATTATGTTCTAGCACAGTCGAATAATTTTTTACGTCACGTGTAAAATTTTTTTGAATACATCTCTGGGCTGACTGGCGCTTACGTGGCTATTGGTTTTGGCGAGAGAGCTCGCCGCTCTAGTGTTCCCCCTCTTTCGAATCGCAAATCCGAGCGTAAAAAGATCAAAGCGGCACGCTACACTGTCCGAGCTGGTTTTTACTTAAGCTGTGGCAGTATCATTGGGCCACTACTTTTTATCATCTACTTAAACGATATTAGTCAAACAACAAGAAATGCAAATTTTAGCCTTACATGCTATGCAGATGACACTAATATACTTACTCATGGAACAACACAAGATATTCTGAAGGAGAATGGCAGTAAGGCTTTCATGAGAGTAGAGGAATGATTTGAGACAAATAGACTAATGCTAAATAAAGAAAAAACTAAAACACTAATTTTTCGAACACAACAGAAGAAAATTGAATTAGCGAGCAATTTGAAAATTGGAGAAATGGATGTCAGCCTTGGTGGTGAATGCAAATTTCTTGGTATTTACATAGACGAGCACTTAAAGTGGACCCAACATATTTATAAGCTATGCTTGAGACTGGGCACAATTTCCTACGGTCTGAGAACTGTGTCAAGTTATGTGAACCCAGACTCAATGAAAACACTATACTGTGGAAATTTTGAGGCACTGCTGAGATATGGAATTATTCTCTGGGGATCAAATTCCGAAACTGCAAAAATTTGTGTGATTCAGAAAAGAATTATAAGACTTATAAAGAAACTTCAGTACAGAGAAAGCTGTCGAGGACACTTTAAATCCTTCGGAATTATGACGCTTCCAGCTCTTTATATATATGAGTGTTTAATATTCATCTTCAAACATAAGTCCCTATTTGAAATGGAAAAATCTCATGAATACCAAACAAGGTCCAGTGATGCCAAGTTCCCCTCACATCGTCTCACCCTGACTGAAAAAAATCCAGTATACATGTGTGTAAAGTTTTACAATAGCCTTCCTGAAGACATAAGAGCAATCGAAAGTCAAGAAACCTATAAGAAATCGTTGAAAAAACTCTTAATTGAATTGGAACCCTACTCAATCAATGAATTCTTAATATAAAAGTATCTTCACCGCTGACAATATTTCAATATGTCTATATATTTGTAATTTTATTGTACATATTTATATCATTTTTGAAATAAATATTTTTATTATTATTATTATTATTATTATCCACCCCACCAAATAACCAACGCAACTAACCTCGACACTGATAAAAAAAATATAAAAAAACAAATATAAATTAGTAAAAACCAACCAACCCCACCAAATAACCAACTAACCAATGAATTAACGCCCTCCAAATAACCACGCTAACCAACCCGTCAAATAACTAAACCAATCCAACCAAAAAGAGTGAAATCAATGCAATAAAATCACGCTATAAACAAAAAAAATATATATAAGTCTTGGTCGGCGTGAGATTTGAACCACGGACCATTCGCTCACGAAGCGATAGCCTCAGCCACGGAGCCACAGATGCTCTTGCAAAATGCTTATAGGTAGGCATTACTTTCCGCCGACATGAATGACGTCACAATATCTATTAACGGCATTTTAGTAGGCTACCGTTTAACGGCTGTTTAAGTACGTCGAATATAAAACCGCGAATATCTGCGAAACCGTTAAAAATTTTGAAATACTCTAAATGCAAAAATGTTTATTTTTTAATTCTCCATCTATTGAAAAAATAATATACAGGGTGTTCCATTTAAGAAAAGGAGATAAATTATTTTATATTTTAGAAAGTTTGACGTAGAATTTTGAACATCCTGTGTGCCTATTTACGATTACCATATTTATAGCAAAGTAAGTACAGACCATCTAAAGTAAATACCTAGTATAGTTTTGATTTCAAGGCAGTTCTTGTATTTTTAATAATTTTTTAAGAGTGGCTGAAAAATATATATTTTTAATTTATTTATTAATATCTCTGAAATTATCGAAAAAGAAGCCAAAAGTGCGATAGTATACAGGGCCTTTCGTTAAAAAAAATCATCCCGAGCCACTCACATTTTTTTGAGCTACCCTATAGAAGTTAAAATATTTTCCTGAAATATATCCTAGTACATACTTTAGATTTGCAAGTTTGATTAAACAAAATTCCCAAGTTTTTTATTCTAGGAGCTACAGATTCCTGACGCGACGTACTATTGCCGGACCCTGTAGAATTGTAAATATAGAGCTGCATTTTACTTAAATATTGCTGTAATTAGCAATATAGGCGCCTCTAAATAAATAGTTAAATTTAAGAGATGTATGTAGACATCAGTTGTAGCACATTTGACCGTATGCACCGTTTTAAGTTTAGCGGGCTTAGCTTTAAGCGCGCCTAGTAAGTTAAGAAGGTTTAAATTTTACATCGTATGTATCTTCTGAATAAGTTACAAGCACACAGCTTAGCCTGCGATAGATTTGGCTACATTGTAAATATTTAGGAATTTTTAAAAATAAAGTACAGCTGTCAGGCTCCATCATACGTTACGAAAATCTCAATGTTTTATTAAAAAGTGTATTTTCCACGACAGATGTAACTTTGTGAATCACATAAAAATTGTTGTTACATTAATTTTGAAAGTAGCCAACCTGTAAAAAAAGAGATTAACATTTTTCTTGTGTACAATATTTTTGGTTTAAATATACAGATTTAATTCTTACAAAAGGGGCAATGTGCAAGAACAGTTAACCTAATAGGACTGCTCATTTAGCCAAAAGTGTCCGCCAGGTGCATGCGAAAACTACTCGCTTTGTGACGTCATTGTAGTCTTTGTCATGGTTATTAGTCCTTATCCGGCAACCAATAATACACACACGTGCATTATTGGTTGCCGAATGCAAAACGTTCATTATTTAGTTTATTTATTTAAACACCTTATATGTTGCAGTATAGAAAATTAACTGTATAAATCGTATTAAATACTCGGATAATGCATTTTTAAGAACAGCAGTTCCTTGCGTCACCTTTTGCAAGCATTCTTTTTAGAGTACTTCCATATTTTGCTTTAAAATAATTAATAAACAATATCGTAGGCACTTAGTAAGCACTTTGTCACAATCCACAACACAAAATGAACGTATTTATACACTGTATAGCTCTAAAAACTTTAAAAACACCTTTTTCACATTTAAAATTAACAAAATAATTAACTCAAAATTTCTCAGCTGCTATTTTGATAAGTTTACCATATGCAACTAGAATACACACTATCATGACAAGGACTACAATGACGTCAGAACTGTCAGCTGAAGCGCGGGAAGAGGCGAACGTACGTCTTATGAGGATGAGCAATCCTATTAGTTTACCGTTCTTGGGCAATGTGCACTTTTGTATGCAAAAGTCCTTTTTAGCTTTTGTATTGTGACAAAAACTTCTGTTTTGTCTAATTAGACATGATAATTTAATTCGCTGAATATTTTGAGAAATAGTATTGAGGCAGGTGAATAATGTGATACTTTTTATACAGGTTGTTTCAAAAAACATGTGCCATTTCTCTCGTGGGGATATTCCTCACTTATAAATTAGATAATACAGGGGGATAAAGTCTTATTTTTTTTCGGTTTATTATAATTTTCTTCCAAGAGCTTTTAGTGATTCAAATGAAATTTTGAGGGTAAAAGCTAGTATAAGTACGACATAATATTTTAATACTAAAAAGGCCATATGGGTTAACATAAAAACATGGGTTAACTTAAAAAAAATCATGTACGTCACTGACTTTTTTTTTCTTGTTAACAAAATGGTGTAGACTGTTTAAGGCCGATTAAAAGATGTAGCTTGATATTTTGTCCATTTACATCTCCTTGATGAGATCTCATATCACCTCACCAGTGAGGGAGGAGGTTCAAAAAATTTTCAAAAACGCCTCAAGTAATAGACGCCCCTTTATATACCAAAGTTTAACGCGATGATAATGAGATCACACCTTATTAATCTTATTTATTTGTATATTTCTTGTTTTACAGAATATCTCTGACGAGAAGTTCAATACGCTCTTCGAAGGTCTTGAACAAAATACTCACCTAGAAACGTTATCGTTATCAAACACCAGTCTAACTGACCGGGGGGCCGAGCGACTGGCGCAAGCTCTCGAAAAGAATAGCCAGTTGAGGGTTGTGAATGTAGAGAGTAACAATATTACGCCGCTGGGTGTTGTGCGGTTGATCAAGTCCCTGTTGAAACAAAATAGTGTGGAGGAATTCAGGGCGACCAACCAGGTAAGGAAATGCGAGTTTTGTTCTATTTCTAACCTTACTTGTCATATTTAAGAGTTGTATATTTATGTGTATAGTCTGTCCAACGACAAGATCCTTGACAGTGATAGATGTGTCTGTCATTTCAATTTCAAAGTAGTTTATTTTATTTTACAAAGAAATAAGTTGGTACAACTGGAACGCATAGCAGGAAATTTATAATATTTAAAATTTGACTTCAAAAAACATTGTGAAAAAAAACTCTACAAAACTGAAAAAACGTAATCGAGTTATTTTATTAAAAAACGGTGTCTGTTAATACAAAACAAACAAGAACAAAACACCACATACCAAAAAAATATAAAAAAAAACTATTTATTACTTTCAAGCTTCAAGAAATTTCCCGCATTTATTATTATATTTATCAATATATCTTATGTACAAATACAAATTTGTAATATTCCACAGGAATAAATAAAACAACATAAATAAAACAAACTATTTTATTAATAATAACACTTACCAAATGTTATACCTTAAAGGTTGATTAAGTAACTTTATTTTTTTTTAAACCAGTACCTTTTGACATTATTTCTCTGCAGTACTAAAATCCATTATTTACCTATCGTGTGATGTCGATATTTTACAGCTACTCCAGAAGTATATGTTTAGTACGATCCTTGTAGCGTATACGAGATGCACTTATCTACGATGAGATGGCATACAAATTTTATTAATGGTAACTTTATGGACTTTCTGCCTGGGCAGCGGTATTAACTATAAACTGTGCTCTGGGTCTACAGTTAATTTTCCCTCGATTTTTCCTCCACTTGACTTCGAAGGATACCAAACACACAGTAATAACACGAATCAAAATGCATAATCTTCCAAAACGCAGATATTTGACATAAGTTGATACAAATTATAACCTATAATTTGGCAAGACTTTGACAAGCCTCAAAATTCTAAAGGCGAGTTCATACGCATCGGCGTCCGTTTGTCGTCCATCGTTCCGTCAAACCAATAAAATTGAAATATGATCTGTCATTTTTGAAATAAACCAATAAAACAACAAGAGACGACGTATGACGGATTTATATTTAAACCCATCCATAGTTAATTTTTAAAATATTAGAAACTTTTTTTAGTAAAATAAATAGATTGGTATGGGTTTTCTGGTTTTCTGGTTTTCTTCTGTCATCATCATCTGGTTTTCTTCTGTCATCGTCTGTCGAAATCTTACCTGAGAAAAAAAAAACAGTATATGTATAGAATGTTCACCGTCACGTCATATATTGTCGAACTCTTTGACTTGACAACCAGATAAAAGAGATTTGTGCTGTCATTGTGGCATTTCCTACATTACTGCACATTGTTTTTAGTAATTGTCATTGTCATTTGATTTGGGGTTATATTTATTGGCGGAAATCGATAAATGTCAAAATTAAAATTTGATTTTCGCTGTAAAACCAAATTCAAATTTTTTTATTGCAAAAATGCCTCAAAGATTTAACTAAAATGAACAATTACAAAGATAAAGAAGAAAACAACAAAGATTTAACTAAAATGAACTCTCATTGCTAAACTTATAAATTATTTTTCTCGAGAAAGAGACTTTGGCAGAACAATCTTTCTCGTGGACGGTATATGAAGTAAGTACAATACAAAGGTGTAATATTTCTTTGTAAAATACAGATTGATAGCGTTTTTAAATAATATAGCGAATTGCTGATGCTTTAGGAATAGGCATTTCAGCAGTCCAAAGGATTGGAATTAAAAGGATCGTAACTGATGAAGGGTTCAAGAAAAAATGAATAAATGTCAAAAAAAAAGGCTCGCTTAATCAATACTATAGGAACGTACTTAAAACATTTTCTAAACAATATGACCTGATCTCAGACACAACCTAAAATTGATATTTGACAAATAATGATGACGTAACGGTGAATGATGGCTGAACAGTCTTTATAATAGAGAGCTTTAGATTAGATATAAATTTTTGAGGTGCCTTTGACCTATACAGCGACTATTACAGATCTATTTCGGTACATTTCTGATACTTTATTTGTTTATTTATTGACGAGTCGTTGTTATTTTCCCTATAGCTTGAAAATTTTTAAGTGCAAGTTAGAAACACTTGCATTTTTGGTAAAAATAAGTGGAATTGAGTTGATGTTCTACAGTGGTCGCGCTATTAGAACTCCAAATTCAAAAGTCAATATCTCGAAATCTATTAGAAATAATTGATTGTAGTTTTTTTCAAAAACTTTCGTAATATTTCTGCTATATTTTCTTCGCAGACAGTATGTGAAAATCTTTATAAATAAAAAGTTACACGATTGCTGAAAATTGCTATTCACTAAAAGTAAATGGATGGGTTGTTTAAAATTTTTGAATGGAAAAAAACAACCTTATCGAATTTTTCTTATACTTAAACATATTATAAAAGATCCGATCTTCAAAATAAAAAAAAGTTTTAATATCTAAAGTGGTCCTAATATCTAAGCTATGGCGTGTTATGTGTTAAAATGTTGAGTTTTTAAATTATCGCGATTACTGACGTTTTCTCGTTATTAAAAAAATGGAGACCCTAATGATATTCTTATAATTCCATTTCAGATGCTCAGAAACATATCTAATGATTTTATCTAGTTATATTTTCGAAAAAAAAGTAATTTAAACAATAAGCTGTTTGCCATCGTGATTTTACTTTACTTGATAGGGAAAGACGTACCGGCAACGCCGCAACAGCACACCATCGTATTTCTCTCACTCCGACTTAAGCTTGATTTTCATGCATCCGTTGTCCGACGATACGTTGATACGATATTAATTTCATTGGTTGTATTTAAAGGCTTCGATTGGTTAACCGTCTCTAACCAATTGAAGCGTTTAAATACAACCAATAAAATTAATATCGTATCAACGTATCGTCGGACAACGGATGCATGAAAATCAAGCTTTAATAAGATCCCTATGCGATTTACTTCCACACATGTAAATACCGACCCAAAAGAAGCCGTTGCCAGCACGGTATATAGAAAATTAATATATTTAAAATTTGAGTGACAAGTTATTACTTCAAAATATTGTGAAAAAAACTGTATAAAACTAAAAAAAATTATTCGAGTTATTTTAATTAAAAATGTGTTAATAAAACAAACAAGGGTGTATTTTAAACAAAACACCTCATATAAAAAAAATACAAAAATGAACTATTTCTTACTTCTTCAAGAAACTTCCTGCATTTATATTATTATTGTTTTAATTTCAGAGAACGCAAATTCTTGGTAACAAAATAGAAATGGAAATAACGCAGCTCATAGAGAAGAACCCAACAATATTGAGGCTGGGGTTGCATTTAGAATATAACGATGCGAGACATCGTATCGCTATGCACTTACAAAGAAATATTGACACAAGTAAGTAAAAGAAAGCTTTTATATATCATGTTGATTTGGATAAACTGGTATTTTATATACTACAATTTGTTTTTTATATATTTTTGTAGTTAATTGGATAATATATTTTCCAGTTTAAAATAGTCATTTTTATAAATATATTTTTGATATTACAGGATATTTTGGACATAAAATGCTATATTTTGCATTGATATATTTTTTTACTTTTTTATGCAATAGATTTTTTCCTTTTTAATAGACTATTCTGAAGGTAATTTTATGTTTTTTTTGTTTTTTTTAAGTGACGTCTCTATCCTATTTTTTCATCTGTATAACTTTTTGCATGATTTTTTTTATTATTATGTCGTCATTTTATATGAGTGCACATTTATTGCAATTCCAATAAATTAATAATATGATTATACTGTAATTAATATGATTTTACCTCTTAATTGGTTTAAATAGGTTCATCGTACAAAGTAATACAAAATTATATATTAATTAATATTCGGCTTGATCCTAATAATTAAATTTTGTTGTGAAATTGAGTTATGTTGATAATATTAACATCATTAAGGTTTTATAGAAATAATATTTTTATTAAATATAAATTGGGCATATACTGTACCTGCTTTTAAAAAAAATCAGTTATATCAATATTGGGTAAAATGAAGTTTTATTTGTATTAATTTATAATATTTATTTACTTGTCTTCTTTATTTTGAATTAATTAGGGAATTTTAAGATATTGTATAAATATTTTATTGAAGTGTGTTACTAAGCCCTGCAGCTAAATTAATAATGTCTGTTTAGCTATATATGTAAAGCTTTTATAATAAAACCCACATTGTGATAAATAGAAAAACAATCAAAATATAGGTAAATCCAAGTCATATTAAAAAAGCATAAAAGGTAGTATAACACTCTAAGATTTAATGAATTTTCAAAAATTAAAATGAATACTTATGTTACATAAAATATCCGATTTCAGGCCGTTTTAGTTTGGCCTAGGATATACTAAAAGTTCCTATTATTGTCAGGAACTTTGCAAATTTTCTAGACCGTACTACTAATAGTATGGCCTGATACTTTTTAGGACAAACTAGAATGGCCTGATTTGTGTTAATACATATCCAATCAGACCATTCTAGTTTGTCTTAATAAGTACTAGGCCATACTAGTACGGCCTAGGGAATTTGCAAAGTTCCTAACAACGATAGAAACCTTTAGCGTTGATTGAAAGAATTGAGAAGATACACAACCTAATGGGCGAATTAGTGACAAGGCTGATTTGATTTCCCCTTACGTCTCAAGTGCTGTACGGTGGAGCCTCCACTCGTTCTGCGGCCAACGTACAAAACACTCTTTTTCTCTAATTCTAGCGGCTAGCAAAGGCCTTTGCTAGCCGCTAGTTCCACATCGCCTTCGATATCGAAGGCGAACGTACTGTCCAAAAATCCGTAAATCTACGGATTAATTCGTAGTTCTGGCAACACTGTCTTCGGAAACCACCCACTCTGTTGACTTAAAGCAGAACTACGGTACAATATTCTTTATCCGCTGCGTTTTAAACGACCATCAGCGCGCAGCGGTGCAATGCTAAACTAAATCTCGGACGCCCTGACAGTAACGGCAGCTACATCTCAGACACCATTTGTGCTACGATATTACGACGAATTTAATATATCTTAGGCCAAACTATAACTGCCTGAAATAGGATATTTCCTGTAACATATAGATTTTAATTTTTGTTTGATGTAAAATATTAATATGGTAAAATTAACTTAAAAAGCAGTGGCTATTTTTAAATATACATATTAAAGTAAATTTATTTTTTTGTTCTTAATGACGAATGGTTAAAGATGAACTACTGATTCTTATTAAAATGTACTATAAGTTAATATAGATAGGTATTTATAAAAAATACTGTAAAGTTTTTGTTTTAATTTTAATAATCACATTAACTTTTGCAATTATAGAACGTCAAAAGATTAAAGCAAAATATCAAATCCACTTGGATAGGATAGGAAAAGCTAAAATCATTAGAACAGAATAGACGACTTAATTTAATTGTACGTCGCCTGTCATCCGACGAAAATCTCGTGAGTAGTAGTTGGATTTACCACGTTTTTTGCTGCTATAAAACGATGGGCTTTTTCCTATTAGGTGAAGTTAGGTTTGATATTTCCATTTCGTGATTAATAAACTATAATAATAATTAATATTTTGAATCATAGTCATTTAGATATTATAATTAGTGATGGGAAAAACCGATTAATTTCAATAATCGAGTACTCGAGTTCAAGCGATTGCAATAACCGAGCGATTGCTCGAGCGAAATATCGTTCGTATTTAAAAATACGGATTTTCGTCTGTCGCTTATTGTAAGTACTCGTTAACGCCAAGCGCCAAGCAGTAAGTTGCTTGCGCAGGGCACATATTCTTTCGGTGATGAATAGCAAGTAGCAAGCGACAAGCGATTCGCTTGATCGCTTGATTTAGTTTATTTCAAACCATTGTCGATGTAGGTCGTAAAAATTTGTCTCTCAGATACGCAACGGATAACGTCGTATAAATTTGATACCTGCAATGTATGTAGAAAATTGGCTCGGCTTTTTATCGAGTATGTCACATTAAAATCGGATTTCAATTTATTTCATTCTAGGATCGCTTGCGTTCGTTGCTCGTAACTCGTCACTTGCATGGCGTGTTCATAATCGAGCGATGTCTGTATTATTCAGATATAGCGAATAATTCATCTCGAATTATTCGCTCGAGCTATTCCATCACTAATTATAATCCATCCATACTGGAAAACATATTTTTCACTTTTACTATTTTACATATAAAAGTGCATTGCTTCATCATTGCAACAAGTCTGGTTATATCGCCAATGAATCATAAAACTTAAAAAAAAAATAAAAATAAAAAATCGAGATATAAGGTGTCTTTCAAATATTATTTTGAATATCGTTTGTCATAATTGGCTGTTCCTTTTTTCTTTTTTTTTTCTTTTTTTTCTAACCAGAACAGCGTCATACAAAACTATAATTTTTTTGGCTTTGTGGCTTTTTGCTTGGCCAATTTATTGTGAAACCAAAAATTTCTTTTTAATTATCTAGTATTTCTCAATTTTTTTTATATAAAATAATTATTTTTATTAGAAAATTATTAGAAATCAATAATTAGAAAAGCAAATTAAAAATAAGCAAAGTCAGCAAAGATATACCTACTTACATTTTCAAAGAAATGTTATCGAACGAAAAAGACGCTACTCCGGGTGTTTCAAAAGTGACTCACCCCTATAACTTTTATTTTTTTAGGATTTTTTAGATAAAAAACGAGACTTGGTATATTAGTATATGCCATAAATCAGGATTCACTGACGTATTCAATTATTAGTTTTGTTAAAAATTTAAACTTTAATAAAAAATATAAATAAATAGTTCCTGTTTGGGAATTATTTTTATATCATAATTTTAACAGGTTTTATAGTAACAGAAATGTCAAATAATATAAAATCAGCTGTTACTGCCAAGAAACTAAATGATCTGATGATAAATGATAAATGATGAAACTAACGACTCAGTGATATTTCTACGCACTCTGGAGATATTTTCATGTCATTATACAACATTTATAATATGTGTATATTAAGCTATGTTGTGGCTACTGTTATATTATACCGGGTGCGTCTCAAAAGTGGCTCACCCCTATATCTTTTTTATTTTTTTAAATTAAAAAAATGAGATTTTTGATTGACGTATTCAATTCTTTTTGGTCACTTCCTATTCCACCGGAAATTACTACAACTTTTGATTTTTAAATGGCACTTTATTCGATAGAAAATGACACTCTGAATAGAACGACATATCATATGTCAACTATTGAAATTTTCGGATATGGTTTATTTGAAATTGTCACATGGTTCATAACGACAATTTGACTTGAAATACCAAGTTTTTGGTACCAAATTATTCGTAACAAAATGCTTTTTTTTAATATGCTAATGAGCCACACCTGTTCCATTTGAAAAAATTGAGATATGATTAAAAATATGATTTGGGTATATTTTAACCGGCCAGGACAAGACACTAAAAACATTAGACCATCAAATCTGTTTTTCCAAGGCTCCTTGACTGAAAATTAGTGTTTTTAACACAGCCATGGCACTCTAGATGGAAATATAAAATAAGATGTTTTTTTGAAGCGAATATGGCAAAAGTTGACATATGATATGTCATTCTACTAAGAGTGTCATTTTCTATTGAATAAAGTAAAAAAATACCGAGGGTATCATTTAAAAATCAGAAGTTGTAGTCATTTCCAGTGAAACAAGAAGTGACCGAAAAGAATTAAATACGTCAATTAATCCTGATTTGTGTTATATATTACCATACCAAATCTCGTTTTTTATCTGAAAAAAATAAGGCTGTACTTAAACTGCCGTTAAACGGTAGCTTACTAAAATGCCGTTAATAGGTATGACGTCGTTGTTGTGACGCACTTGACGGCTTTATGAAATATAGGAATTTTATAAGGACTAACCAACGCTATCCACCCCACCAAATAACCAACTTAGACGCAACTAACCTCGACACTAATAAAAAAATATAAAAAACAAATATAAATTAGTAGAAACCAACCAACCCCACCAAATAACCAACTAACCAATGAATTAACACCCTCCAAAAAACCACGCTAACCAACCCGCCAAATAACTAAACCAATCCAACCAAAAAGAGTGAAACCAATGCAATAAGATCACGCTATAAGCAAAAAAATATAGAAAAAAGTCTTGGTCGGCGTGAGATTTGAACCACGGACCATTCGCTCACGAAGCGATAGCCTCAGCCACGGAGTCACAGGTGCTCTTGCAAAAGGCTTATAGCTAGGCATTACTTTCCGCCGACATCAACGACGTCACAATATCTAGTAACGGCATTTTAGTAGGCTACCGTTTAACGGCTGTTTAAGTACATCGAAAAAATAAAAAGTTTTAGGGGTGAGCCACTTTTGAG